ATGACAAAACAGACTGGAATTTGCTTCAAAAAACAGTGAAGAAAATGGGGCTTGGGGTAAGGTGGCAAAAAATGGTTCAACAGTTGCTTGTCCGGTGCTCATTTTCTATCTTTTCAGTGGCAATACCAAAGGGTTTCTTTAAGGCAAGTAGATATCCTAGATTGGATACCTAGGATAAGGTATGCTTAGGTACATTCTATCCAATGATGGGCATATGCTTAAAATGAATTAATCATAAGATTAGTCATGGTTTATTCAAAGACTATGATGGAAATACAATTTTGAGTTATTCTAGGCCATGTGGACAAATATCTGCATATGAGGCTGAGCTTTGTGCCTTATTGCAAGATGTGAAATTATTATTTGGATTATATTGCGGCTGTGTGCTTATTGTGGAAGGTAACTACTTGAATGTCATTAGGTGTTGCCTAAGGAGCCGCAAATCCCATGGCAGCTCAGGTCTCTTTGACTTCAATTAGTAGATATCCTTGATATTTCTTACATGGAGGCCAGATCGGTTAGTTAAGCAGGGTGTTTCATGGCTAATCTTATGATTAATTTAGTGGCTACGTCATAAAAGGTTTTTTTTTTTTTTAAGTTAATTTAATAGAAAAAAAAGACTCTTACTCTTTTTTTTCAAATAACACAAAAGTTGATATTTTTTAAGATATTAATGAAATGTTGTTAATACAAATAAAAATCACAATGTGGTGAGTAAGCTGATGGGGTGCTACCACCTCAACCTCAGCTCCTTTCCGTAGAGGATTTTTCTTGTTTGACTAAATGGATGAAGTAACTTTCGTCAAAATAATAATAATAATACTAACTTAAAACTAACAAAAGCAACATGCAAAAACTCGTCTATTCGTTTTTTGAAGAAAGTAGGGGCTCTTCGTGCTTGTATTCATGGTCCGGACAAAGTGTCTGTGGCAATGGATTCAATCAATGAGGTGTCCTCCGTCTATATCATCCTTTAACTTTGGGGTGACAATTAGGACAGGTGTCGCTTTAGTGGATCTGATGGGCTAGTTATATACATATGGTGACAATTAGGACAGATGTCGCCTTAGTGGATTTGATGGATTAAGTTTTATATATATACATATATAGAAAAACACTGTCGCCTTAGTGGATCTGATGGCCTAGTTATATACATATGGTAACAATGGGCTAGTTATATACATATGGTGACAATTAGGACAGGTGTCGCCTTGGTGGATTTGATGGATTAAGTTATATATATATATATATATATATATATATAGAAAAATACTACCCAATATCTACAGACAAAAAATGAAGAGCGATTTCAATTACCTCCATCATTATCTAAAATTCATCACGCAGTCACAATTATCTAGTTCATTTTTCTTTTACAAATCGGAATGATATGAAATTTAGAGCGTGTGTTCATCAAAAATAAAGAAATCTTTAAACATTATAAAAAAGATATTTTACATAAATACAATTGACCAAAATACTTTCGAAAAGTGTTAGGGGTATTTTAGTCAATTAATTTTTCACGGATAATTGTTTTTATATTTTTATTAGATGCGTCTCAGTAAGATGTACATACCTTCCAAAGTTCAGGTCATTCCGATTTGTATAAAAAAATGAAAAATAAAACACTACCAGACAATTGTGACCGCACGATGAAATTTGGACGGATGATGAGAGTAGGCTGAAATCACTATTCATTTTCACCTATAGGCGTTGGAAAGACTTTTCATATATATATATATATATATAGACTATTCATCAAACACAAAAGTCACACAGTATCTCGGCTCTCATTTGGGCATACTACGATCTCATCAAAGGCTAACCCACAAAACCCTCATAGGTTATCCCAGGTACTTTGGGTATTTCCAACTCAGTTCACCTAGCACGTCGAGCTTAATCTGAGTATGGGAAAATTGTATTTGCCTAGTATGGTCCACAAGAGGACCACACTCCCACTTAGTTTATGTTTCACTATACACAATGCTCATACAAGTTCTCATAAGGCCTTTAAAGGTCACATAAACCCAACCGTTTTAACCAAGGTTTGAAAACTCGGCGAGTCGAACCGGACTCCTCCGGTTCGACTCGAGAATCGGCAGACCCCGTGCCGGTTCCACTACAATACCGGGAATCGCTCGTGTCTAGAGAGAACCAGGTTATTCCCAATAGTGAATCGTCGAGTCACTATCACAACTCGCCCGGTTCACGTCATGACTCGCCCGGTTCTGCGCAAGCGCATGACGTCATGAGTCACATGGGGTATTTTTGTAAATTTTTGAGTTACAATGGCCACCCATTGTCAAAAACACGTGCTCCATCACAAACCACACTGCTACGTGCGTTTCGCGCGCGACTAGCATTGGTAGCAGAAAACTATTTATTCTTACCAAATTTGTTCTATGGGTTCGATGTGGGACAATTGCGCCAAGGTAATAGCTCAGAAAGAAATATGATATAAGTATTGAGTGTCCTCTTTGTATAAAAGTTAACATTTAACGTGGTGGTTAGAGTGTTTTTTTTGTGCGCTGGCCGTCGCGGGATCAATTCCTACCCAGGTGCCATTATTCCTTCACAAACAAATTAATTTTTCCTTTTTACAAAATAATTTTTTTTTTACAAAAAAAATAAAAGTTTTTAATAAAAAATATATTTTTTGTTAAAAAAAAAATAAGGTTCTTGTCAAAAAAAAAAAAGGTAATACCAAAAAATAAAAATTTACTTGTCAAAAAATAAAATTTATTGTAAAAAAAATATAAGGTTCTTGTAAAAAAAAAAAAAAAAAAAGGTTATACAACAAGTATAACTTGTAACAAAAAAATAAAAGGTTCTAATTAAAAAAAAAAAAAAAAGTAATACGACAAGTATTTCTTGTAACTAAAATAAATAAAAACTTATTGTCATAAGAAATAAAAGGTTTTTGTCAAAAAAAAGGATCAAAGTTAATACAACAAATATTTATCGTAAAAAAATAAGAGGTTGGATTTGTTATTATTTGTATAATAAAATAATTATAAAATGTAAACCAACAAGTTCAAATTTCAGTATATGATGTTTTTCACCAATGCAAGATTTTAGTGGCCATTTTTTATCGATTAAAACCATTCTTTATTATAGTCCATCTATGATTATATTTCACCCATGATAATTATATGATTTTTCTTTTATGTGATGTAAATTTAATAATCAAAATAAGTTCATACAGAGAAAAAACATCTCAATATTCACATATTGATGAAAAAATGAAAATTAATAATGTAGTACTTCGATTTCTTATTGGATTCCTAAAAAACAACATTTATAATAAATTTTAATATTTTTTTTAGATTTTTTTAAAGCCTAATCCAACCGATTCGGCCGATTCCCGATTCGGATTGTCGATTCACCGATCCGGATAGATTTTAGGGGTGTCCGATCCGGGCCACCGACCAGTTTTTAAAACCACTGGTTTTAACTATAGGAAACCGTTCTATATGCCACTAGGTATAGTGGCTTTATATATGTCACCTCTCTCGCAGCCGTCTAATATGAACGGACGTTAAGATGACCCAATCACCATATCACGCCTAGACCCTATTTTATTTTTAATGTTTTTTACAAAAATCGTATTGGCATAAATTTTAGGCGTCCAATCCTCCCACAGGCTCGCACCTATAAAAATGGCCAAAATACCCCTCAAATTATATGGGGCAGTTCGTTCATTTTATTTTCATGATAATATTGCTGTAATATTTTTTTACGCATGCCCCATTCAGATGATCACACAGTAAATTTCTTGTTCATCAAATTCGTAGAAAAAAAATTTAAAATAAAATACTATGAGCTATTTGTTCTAGATCTAAGGGGCTCACTTGTAACATTATGATTGAAGGTATCCCCAATATTCATTCAGATCCAACGGCTGGGAGAGAATGACATATATAAATTCATTGTGCGTAATGGCATATGAAAGATATCTTTAGCATGTTTTTTACTTCCTCCTCCTTATATCTGCCCCGATCTCAATTGATGCTCACATTTACTAAACGTTTTTGCTTCTCTCTCTCAACTCTACTATAGGAGGCCGTTACAATCATCTCTCTTGCTTGCATTTAGAAAGTTTCCTACATGTGAACTTCACTTGTTCTCTCACTCTTTCACACTATATTTTTATTGTAGCATGCAACTAATACCAACTCTCTCTTGTTTATATTTCTATAAAGTGCCTACATCAACGTCATTTATCTCTCTCTCTCTCAAAATACTTTAGCATACAATTAACATCTCCTCTCACTTGTTTATATTTGTATACTATTCTAAACATCACCTCTGTCTCCCATGATACATTATTTATAGCATACAATTAGCATCGTCTCTCTCTTGTTTTACCTATATGAACTGTTCTACGTCAACTTTTTCTCTGTCTCTCTCCTTTGTTTGTATTTGTATAATTTTCTATACATCAACACCTTCTCTCATGATACATTATTTACAACATACCGTTAACGTCATCTCTCTCTTGTTTGTATTCAGGACTTGTTTATATTCAGGTAAATTATTTCATGCGAACCGGATCGCATTTCTACAATATGCGGGTCCAAAGGTATAAAGCATAAATCTTAAAAATAGATGTAAATAGGTGGATAGTTTATATAATGGTTAAAATCAAATAAATATATAAAATATATGAAAATCTTGGAAATGGATGGTCTAAATAACGTATTGCAATATGCACTATTTTTAGTACTAAATTTTTATTATTTTTGTATATTCATACATCAATGGATCCTGTCAATGTCAAGATGATCAAATGTTACTTCAACATTAAAACAATCTTTTTCCGGTGGAATTTTTAAAGTGCATACGTAATTCCACATTTTAAGGTTACAATCTTGTATAAACATTTTCCTTATTATTACAAAACATTACCTCTCTCTTATTTAAATTTGTATAATTTTCTCTACAATATTTATAGCATACGTCTCTCTATTGTTTATAGTTATAAGAAGTTTCCCCCCCTCCCTCTCTTTGTAGTTCTCATACACACTACTTCCATCTTTCTTTCGGTATACGCCACCCCTCTCTCTCTCTTTTGACAGAGATACACAGATGGAAGCTCCTCCCCCTCCCAAGCAGCACTTCCTTCTCTTCCCTTGGCTTGCCTTCGGTCATATAATCCCCTTCTTCCAACTCGCTAAACGTCTCGCAGATGCTGGAATCTCAGTCACCTTCCTCACTCTTCCCTCTGTCTTTTCCCACCTCCCTCCTCTCCACGTCCCCCACCACCTCTCTCTCATCTCTTTCCACCCTGTCTCTCTCCCTTCAATCCCCGAACTGCCCGAAGCTGCCGCCACCACTTCCGACCTCCCTCCCCACCTCCAAGATCACCTCAAAGCCGCCTTCGATGCCCTCCAACCCCTCTTCCACACCCTCCTCCCCAAGCTCTCTCCAAATTTAGTTATCCATGATTTCACCTCCTATTGGCTCCCTGAAATCGCCACCACGTTTGGAATCCCCACAGTCTTTTTTAGCATATTCAATGCTGCATCATTCGCCTACGCCGCGGTCCCATATCGTGTCAGTGGAACTCCAACTGATTTGACCTCAGCTCCGCCAGATTTCCCCCCCTCCGCTGTTTACTTCCACCCTTTTGAGGCCAAGCAACTACAAAGCCTTTCTACATTTCAAAAGACTGACGTCTCCAGCTTTGAGCGCTTTACTAGAACCATTTGTAACTCACATATGGTCATCATCCGCTCATGTTATGAACTTGAGAAGAAGTATATTGACTACTTGGTAAAAGAGTATCTGAATTATTTCAAGGAATGCGGGGGTAGTGGTGTTAAGAAGTTTTTGCCCATTGGGTTCCTTCCCCCTAGGCCAGGGGATGAGGCCCACAGGGACAATGGCACTATGGACAGTGGGAGTTGCCAGAAATTTGTTAAAAAACCTTGGGCTAAATGGTTGGACAAACAACCAGTCAGCTCTGTTACTTATGTGGCCTTCGGAACCGAATGCCTACTAAATCAATCCCAAACAAATGCAGTAGCAATTGGGCTCGAGCAGTCCGGGTTTCGGTTCCTCTGGGTTGGGAGAGCCCCGGTGTCTGGAAAGTTGCCATTGCCAGATGGTTTTCTAGAACGGGTTCAAGGGAGAGGGCTCATAGTCGAGGAATGGGTGCCTCAAGCCCAGATCTTATCTCACCCTTCAATTGGGGTTTTCTTCTCGCACAGTGGGACCAGCTCAGTGATCGAGGGATTGACCACCGGCAAGCGCCTCGTGCTATTGCCTATGATCCTCGACCAAGGCCTCATCGCTAGGCTCGTGGCTGATGAGTGGAGGGCTGCCCTAGAGATCGAGAGGGCCAATCTGGAGGATGGGAGCTTCACTGCAGACTCCGTGTGCCGGGCTGTGCAAAGAGCAGTCTCAGAGGAAGACGATTCCGAGACTTGGCGCAATGCAAAGGATCTACAGGCTCGGATTTTCTGCGACACAGAGTTGGAGATGCATTACTTGAGCAAATTCGTCAATTGCGCCACCAAACTGGTTTGCCCTAAGTCCTAGATCTTGTGCTTCTTCAGGCCTTTTATCAGGAAATCCACGAACAAGAGTGATAAGCTCAAGGGACAATGGCATAAACTGATCCATTGTCCCAATTTGCTGGCATTCTTGATTGATTGAGATTGCGTTTTACATGGGTCTGCTGGTCTAGTGATCCTTCTATTGCTTTGAAATATCAAACTTAGCGCTTTTGTGTTTTGGAATTTAAGTTTTGATTTCATTTTGAGTCACATATAGTTTAGAGATTTTGTACATTTTATAAAGACGCCAGGCCAATTGCATATTTCAAGATAAAAGGCATAAGTTGCAGAAGACATATATAATGGACCACTGGATAAATAAAATATTTTGAAACGTACTATCTAAGATCAAACAGTGAGTGGCTCTCTTGATCAAAATTGGACGGCTGGATTGTAGGGGAAATATAAATCTGCTCTAGGAGAAGTATTTAAACATTTCCCTTCTAATAAAGTTTGATAGTTATTACTTTATAGGTCTTTCCCTTGTAATAAAGTTTGATATGTATTACTTCATGGGTCCATGTTTAAGGACATGATAATGAGTATCAAAAATTCGAACAAGCAGAGACACCTTGTCTTTCAAAATGGTTGCTATTTTTTGTTCTTAAAGAGAAAAATGTCTGAATATATATTAAGCTACAATTAAAAGTAGGTATACATAGTATTTAACGTTTTGCATACATTAAGCCATAGTCTGTTGTTTGATTCTGGACTTGCTCGAGTCGATTGGTTTTGAAAATTACTCATCTCACCGTTTTCATAATTTTTAAGACTTAATTAAAAATTTGATGGTATCTTCGACTTGCGCGGATCAAACCAAGGGGACCCAATTCAGGATTCCAATGATTTGAGCTCGCGCCGAAATGTGAAGAGGTAGAGGCATGGCAGCAATGGAGCTATTTGGTTGTTTAATTTATCTTGTAATTTCTCTGTTACTGTTGAGAGAGCTGTACACAGTTTTTCTTTTGTGCCTTAGGCTTCGTCTTAGTGCTAGACATCATGGGATATGGAGGATATTACTCAATGGAAAAAGTTTATATAAGGTTGCAACCTTAAAATGTAGAATTAAATATGCACATAAAGAATCCTATTGGAAAATGTTGTTTTAATGTTGAAGAACTTTCTAATTGATCATCTTGACATCAAGATGTATGAATATGAAAAATAAAATAAAAAATTTGAGTCCTAAAAATAGTGCATCTCACAACATATTATTTAGAAAGTCTATTTTCAAGATTTCCATATGTTTATAGATCTACTTTATTTTAACACTTTTTGAAGTTTAAAATTTTATAGTTAGAGATAAAAATAAATTTTCAGATAATCTTAACAATTTTTTACACCAAAATTACATGTTATCATAAAATTTAGATTTTAGAGGTGTGCGTTAATTAGATTGTTTAAGGTTGCAACCTTATACAAACCACACCCTTACTTCAAACACTTAAAGTTTGTTCCAAACAAGCCAATGTGCCGACAGTCAAATACCTATTTTTTTTGGATGAGAAAGTAGGGAGAGAGCTCCTACTTTTGGTAGGAATTGAGACTAGAACATGACATTGCAAATCGTCAAGCGCTAACCTATTAAGTCCAGCTCTTTTCTTAGAGAGTGTTCTTTAGGGCATTTGTTATTTAACACTTTTTTGAGTTAAGTGAATTTATTTATCGGTAATTCAGCGGTAGGAATTGTTGCTACCTTGCTAATATCAATAGCTAATAAATCACACCCATGATCAATGCAGTGGACTAATTTTGACATGGTTTGTATGAGTCCCCGGACTCATATGTTGTAATGCGCCCTTTTTTGATAATCTATTTTTGAAATAGATTTTGGCCATAATTTTGAAGGAATATATAGTGTCTAATATTAACATTAATATATAAAAATATAAAATAAAAAATGATAATTGTTTAAGGAAATATTTAGACTTTATTATTATTGTATTTGTGGAGGGGTGTGGTTTTCATAAGGTTGCAATTTTAAACAATCCAATTAAGGCGCACCTCCAAAATTGTATCGTACGATGTGATTTGGGTGTCAAAAATTATTATGATTGCCTGAAAATATATTTCCAACTGTAATTATAAAATTTAAACTCTAAAAATAGTTCAAATCAAACAGATCTATAAACATATGAAAATCTCGAAAATGGACTGTTTAGATAATGTGTTGCAGGTGCAGTATTTAGGGGACTCAAAAAAATTTTCTTTTTAATATTCATACATCTCAATATCGATTTGATGAACTAAAGGGTTTTTTAACATTAGAAAAACATTTTTCCCATGGAGGTGCAACCTTAAATCCACATTTTAAAGCTGCAATCTTGTATAAACTTTTTCCTGTTTGGAGGAATCATCATTTACATCTATCATTAAGATCTATGGTTTATGCCTAAGGGCACAAATGTAGGAATTCATTCTCGTGCCCATATAATCATTTTTTTGGTTGGGGTCGTGGCAATAGCATTCCCACATCCAGTTACCACATCGTAGTATCCATTCTTACTACTGACACCCCCAATTAACACCTTCAAAATGTAACTCCCCAATCTATTAACCCTTTCAAAATGTAACTCTCCAATCTATTGAAAAAATAGCTAAGGGCCTGTCCTCACTTAATCACCAAAGAAAAAAAAAATCCCAAAATTTGAGATATATGTTTTACCGATGTTACTAAATTTTGTTGAAAGAAGTAGTTAATTCCCAAAATTGGATATGTCCAAACATAAAATAACATAGGGTATGCCACAATCTCTCTCCAACAACCACCCACTAGCACATGCAGCCTGCAAGAAAAAAAGGATTCATATATCACATGTCTACATCACTACTCAAACAAATATTAATTTATCCTGTCTTCCTCACTCAAATTTGTTCCTACCTTTTCTCGGTGAAATTTACCATAAAATGCCGGCAGAAGATCAATGTTTAAGAAAGGGTGCGGTTTCTATAAGGTTGCAACTTTAAATAATCCAATTAAGGCGCACCTCCAAATTTTATCATAACATGAAATTTTGGTGTACAAAATTATTACGATTATCTGAAAATCTATTGTCATATCTAATTATAATATTGTAAACTTCAAAAATGATTACAATCCAGTAGATTTATAAACATGTGAAAATCTTGAAAATGGACGGTTTAGATAATGTGTTTCAAAATGAACTATTTCTTGGGTAAATCAGCTTCTTTCTTTTATATTTATACATCGTGATGTGGAGATGATCAATTAGAGGGTTTTTCAACATTAAAACAACCTTTTTCGATAGAATTTTGCGGCGCATCATTGATTCTACGTTTTAAGGTTGCAACCTTATAAACTTTTTCCTTTAAGAAAAGCGAGCTTTCCATACTTCTTCTGATGTATAAACTTATATACTCCCCCTTGTCAAATTGTCCATTTTGAATAGGCATTTGAGATGGCCCCAATCAAAATGCTATCTCTCTACACTATTTTATATTTTATTATTTTTCTATAATATATTTTGACACCAAATTTCAGGTATTCACTCCTCTCTTAAATTGGCACCTGTAAAGAATACAAAACAAATATTTGCAATAAAATACATTGACCAAAATATCTCTGAAAACTTTAGAGGTATTTTGATTATTTTATTTAGTTGAGAATATTTTTTAAATATTTTTTTTTATATGCGCCACATTGAGAAGATGGCTAGTACTAAATTTTATATCCATATAATTTATAAAAAAAATTAAAAATAAAATACTAGAAGATGTCGGAGCTAGATCAAATGATTAGTGGTTCACTTGATCTAAATTGGACTGCTGGATGAGGGGGGATATACATCTACTACACAATAGGGGACGTATAGAAACTCCCCTTATTTTACATTTTATATAGAAGTCAAAACTTCTATTTATTTATTTTTTATTTTATTTTTTCATACTGCCTCCAATTTGGACTGGCTAAACCAAAACTTCGTTACGAGTGAAGGTTGGGTCCAGAGCTTCAAGTTCCAAAACACTTTTTTATCTTTTGAAGCCGGGTTTAAGACTTGAAAGTTTGGGACCAACTTTTTTTTTTTTTTTTGGGTAATTAAGTGGGGAAGACAGTCCCCACCTATTTTTTTCAATAAATTGGGGAATTGCATCAACTTTTATTTGAAAAAGTGTATGCCGCATTTGAAGGGCCAGGACATTAGAAGTTTGAAACCATCACACAATCTGAACCCATTTTGTTCAAGTAAAAGATAGGTTCGAACTTCAGGGTCCAAACCCAGCTTTCGGTGAGATAATAGGTTCGGAACTACTTCTGATCTCAAACTTTACTCATAAATACAATTGCTTCTAACAAAAAAATAAAACAGAAGTTAGCATAGATGTATTTAGATTTTATTTTTATAGTTCATCACCGTTCATGTGAATGTTGGGGAGACCTTCAAGTCTGTACATTTCTTTGAGCAAAATCATGAGTCTAGAGCTAAAATATATGTAGAATAGCTAAAGATGTCTCTCACATCTGAAGTCTATTATCTAAAGTAAAAAGTTTATATAAGGTTGCAACCTTAAAATGTAGAATTATAGATGCACCTCAAAAATCCATCACGAAAGGTTTTTTAGATGTTGGAAAACCCTCTAATTGATCATTTCGACATCGAGAAATATGAATCGGAAAAGAAAAAAAGAGTTCGAGTATGTAAAATAGTGTATCTTTCGGTACATTATCTTGACTATCCATTTTCAAGATGTTCATATGTTTATAGATCTACTTGATTTGAACCACTTTTGAAGTTTGAAATTTTATAATTAGAGATGAAAATAAATTCTCAAGCCATCCTACAAACTTTTGATATCAAAATTACGTTTATGATAAAATTTAGAGGTACGCCTTAATTGGATTATTTAAGATTGCAACTTTATACAAACACAACCTTTTATATAAAGGAAATTTTTTTTATAAGGTTGCAACCTTAAAATGTAGAATCATATATGCACCTCAAAAATCCATAAAAAAAGGTTGTTTTAATATTGAAAAACCCCCTAGTTGATCATCTTGATATTGAGATATATGAATATATAAAAAATAAAATAGAATAAAAAAAATTTTTGAGTAAAAAAAATAATGCATCTTGTAATATATTATCTAGACCGTTCATTTTTAAGATTTTTATATGTTTATAGATCTACTTAATTTTAACCATTTTTGAAGTTTAAAATTTTATAATTACATATGAAAATAGATTCTGAGATATTTTTAAGAATACTTTTACCAAAATTACATGTTATGATAAAATTTGGATATACGCTTGAATTGAATTGTTTAAAGTTGCAACCTTATAGAAACCACACCCTTATCTAAATGAACTATTTAAAGGGGACCTCCAAATTCAATTTTCATCATGAAGAAAAGCTGAAGAGGCGTTTTCAAACCCATCGTACAATAGCATAATAGCAATCGAATATTTGGCTATTCGATGCCTCTCTTTATTAAAAAGTAAAGCTCCCTCACCAATAATTTATATTCTTTTAATTCAACATCTTATCAACTGTTATTCTATCACTTCAAGCCCCTTCTCCCCCCTTCACAATCTTCTCTACCACTCGACGTATCTCACTTTCCACAATTATTTGTAATGCATACCAAAATCTCCTCATTTCCATATATAATATGTTAAGATACAAGAAATATCTAATAACCACCATATTTCTTGACATACAGGGCCACGAAATTACCCAGTTTGGTTTCGGATCCTATTCGAATTTGGGTATGAACTCAAAATTTAGATTTGATGGGTCAGATTCCAAAATTTGGATCCAAATAGTAATTTAGATTAGATTCGATATAGGTGGAT